AAATTCTGAAAAATTAAAATGCTGAAAAAAGATCCCCAATACCCATTTCCCAATAATAAAAAGTTTATGTTTGAGTTTAAAAATTGATTATTTTATTTATTTATTTTTTAATTTTTTAAAAGCTATTCGATATTTTTTAAATTAAAATCAATATTGGTGCCGGTGGAGCTGGTGGAGGCGGTGGAGCTGGTTCAGGCGGTGGAGATGGTGGCGGTGGAGCTGGTGAACATCTTCATTTTTTGTCGGTGTTTTGTTGTGGCGGTGATGATGAGCTGGTGGCTGGTGGCTGGTCTTGGCGGTTGTTCTTCGCTGAGTGTTATTTTTCCTAGACGAGGTCCCTGATTTTATACCCGACGAGGAGAACATTGTGATAAGCCGACATACCTGGGTTTTGTAGTTTTGGAGTTATCCAAATGGAAGATGTATGATTTTCACTACTCATATATGAAACCCAAATTTCAGAATGCACTTAAATTAAATTATATGGGTACAGATTCATTTATCTACTCTATTAAAACAGAGGATTTATATAGTGACATTCGTGAAGATGTTGCTTTAAAATTTGATACATCTGAATATCCAGATCAATTGGCTAGGCTATATAATTTCCAGCAGTGTAATAAGAAGCGCTTAGGGTTCTTCAAAGACGAACTGCAGGGTAGGTCAATGACTGAGTTTGTGGGTCTTCGCTCAAAAATGTATGCCTACACAGCAGCGGGTGTAGGTAGCGAGCCCAAAACATGTGTTAAGAAAATAAGGGAGTGAAACGAAGTTGTTTGGAGAAGATTACTTTTAACAATTATAAAAATTGTTTGTTCACAGGACAACAAGAAAGTGATAGCATGTACATATTTAGGTCGAGAGGGCATGAAATTAGTACATTAAAAATTACAAAAATTACTTTAGATAATAAGGATGACAAAAGAGTTTTAGGTGATGATGGAATATCCACTCTAGCAATAGGTCATTATAAAACAGTTCGTAGGGAAATTGAAGGCTGTATGACAGCTCTAGAAGCAGATTCAAGGGTTTGGCTTAGCCGAATGTCTGCTCTAGGAAACACCCCAAATAATGAGGGTGAGAGAGGAACTCTTAAAAGAAAATTAGAAGATACCGAAAGTGCGCTCGACGAATTCGAAGAAAATTTAATTTGGCATTATATTTCAATGGATAAAATGAGAGATCCAAAAATTGTATTTAAATAAAAACATCATTTATTTTGTATTTCTAGTATAATAATTTATTTAAAAATACTTACTTTAAGACTAAAAATAAATTAAATCTATGTGTATATAATATTAAGATTAGAATAAAATTGAATCAATGAAAAAAAAAAAAAATTATATATATAAATAAATATCCAAAGAAAACATAAAACTGCTTGTGTCTTTATTTCATTATAAAATTTCAGAGTTATTTATCCAGCTGTCGTCGGTTTTCGGGAAACCCAACCAACGTACAAGACATCTTTTTCCCTCTCTTTTAAGTACCTTCTCAACTAGCTAGGTATTGGGAAATCTAGTTTTTTTAGCTCTTCCTTATAGAATCCACTCTTAATAGGATTTCCATTCAAGTCTTCTAATAGATATGTGGTTGGATATGTATTTTGAACTTTGTATATCCTAAAATTTCAACATTCCAATTAGGAGTGTACGATATCTCAAATACTCCCTTATATTTTAAAATTCGAACATTGTCACCAATTTTCAGTTTGCTACCTGTAAACATTTTTATATTATTGTATACCGTTCCCAAGATGTGTTTCTCATTCTCAACATTCACATCGATAGGAGCCATTTTTATAGTCCTGTGTATTTTGTTGTTGTAAAAGTTAATTAATTTTTTGTAGATTTCAACCCACTTATAGCTCCCGTTGTAAGAAAACTCTTTCCACATAAGTTCTTTTAATTTTCTGTTGAATCTCTCAACAATTGAAGCCTTTAAAGTACCAAATGTTGAATAATGATTTATTTGATGTTGTTTCATGAAAGACTTAAATTGTTCGTTAAAAAACTCTTTTCCATCATCTGTTTGTAGATGTTTTGGTACTCTACGACCAGATTTAAATTTTTTCTCCATTGCTTCAACAACATATTTTGCAGACTTAGATTTAAGTGCTTCACCCCACGCAAATTTCGAGAATGTGTCAATTACTGTTAGTAGGAAGCGATATCCATTATTCGAGGAGGAGTACTTTCCCATTTCCACCAGATCAGCCTGCCATAACGAATTTATTCCCTTTGTAATAACCCTCCGACGTAGAAAATGTTTGCGCGCAGGAGCGTGTAATTCATTAATAATTCCTCGCCTACTCATTATCAGGTAAGAGACTATCAAATTATTTCGAAAATCTTATTTTTTCAATAATAGATGAGACAACAACCTCCAGTCTCTCTATTCGATCTTCAATATCTGCAGTTTTCACATCAGGAATACTAACAATTAAATTTTGTTGATGTGAAGTAATAGAATCCCTCAGCCTCTTTACAGACTTGTCGACATATTCCTTGTTGGCTATATCTTTAGCTTCTTTGGGAATCCCGACATTTTTTTTACGTTGAATATTAAAATTACCCTCTGTATCAGTATCGATTGCCGCAACACCATCAAATTTTTAACCAATTGCTTCTTGAAATTTTGTAATCAATGATGTTAAGGATACTCTCAACTCATGAATAGCTTTATCAACATATTCTTTGATGACGATGTCTGCGTTTTCTTTTGGGAAGCCACCATTTTTTATACGCCTTTTTTGTATATTAAAGTTTCCATCAGTATCTAGGTAGAGTCCCGTCTCAGTTTTCTCATATCGTTTTAAATTATTAGTGTTCTGCTTTTCATGGATATAACGTCCAAACTTGTCAACGGTCATGATGAGTATAATCTCATTTGAATATTACAGCATAAATATATACTAAATTAGAATATAATTTTGGCCTCTCGGAGCTCTTCAATTATCGATGTAATTTCGTTTGCGTGATTTGTATTTCCAGCTGTTTCCGAAGCTATTAAAAGTTGAAGTCGTTCCACTAACTCATTTGGATCGTCCCAATATTCATAATTAGGTTTATTCCTTTCAAGTGTCATGAAACCAGACCCGGTTACGTTTTCTTTATTGCGTTTGGGTGTAGACTTGGTGACGGGTAAATTAGCTAAAAGTGGTTTGATAATTTGAGAATATTTTAATGCTCTCGTTCATTTCACTTGTCCGTTTGGTAGAAAATTTCTTCGGTAGGCATTAGTTTTTTGTAAAATTTCTCTATATAGCTCCAGATCATCTGAATTATAATTTTTTGGAAGATGATGGTGTTTTGAGGAGGGCATTAATTTATGCCACCTATTAAGCGAATTGATTTAGCGAGGGGTTTGTTTTGTGTTGGCGTAAAATTAGTTATGTTTTAATTTGTGTGTGCTTGTGTGTGGTTTGGTTACAAAGTTTGTGTGTTTTTAGTTTCAACGTAAGTGAGCGAATGAAACGAGAGAATAGATAAACCAAACAGAAGAGCTGCGGCGGAAGAGCTTTCATGCCGGCTTATGAGGTGGAAAGCTTCTGCCGCAACTGATCGCTTGTTTACAAATAATGATTTAAAACATTTAATATTAAATCTGCTGCTTCTGCTCCCGACATGCTCCCCCGCTGGATGCGGCACGCTGCCAGATGAGGTGGTTTCCAAGGGTAGAACAGCTATTTTGCCAACAGCCCTTTTTATTAGGCCAGTGGCTGTCCGAATGACAGCGACACGGGCCACACCGTCAGCTCCATGGATAATGCTCTCCACTCTGCCAAGACGCCATTGAAGCGGAGGGATGTTGTCCTCCTTGAGCACCACAATGCTATGCGGTAGGATGTTGGGCCTTGATGCACGCCATTTCCCACGCTCTTGTAAAAGCGAGAGGTAGCTGGTACTCCACTTCCGCCAGATAATTTGCTGAATTTGGCAAACTCGTTGCCAGCGGCTCAGCCGATCGATGCTGAGGTGCGTGATGTCGGGCTCCTCGATTGTGGCGAAAGAAGACCCAATCAAAAAGTGACCAGGTGTAAGGACATCCAAATCGTTAGGGTTTTCTGAAATTGGACAGAGCGGTCGAGAGTTAAGCATCGCTGAAATTTCATAAACTAAAGTGCGAAGCTCATTGAATGAGAGAACAGTGTTGCCAACGACCCGATGAAAATGATATTTTGCAGATTTGACGGCAGCCTCCCATAGGCCGCCGAAATGAGGCGAACGAGGGGGAATAAATTGCCATTTGATCCCGATGGAAACGAAGGCCTGCTGAAGATCGCTGTTTTGAGGGTCGGCGAGAAACAGTTGCCTCAGTTCCAGCAGCTCGTTTTTGGCTCCAACGAAGTTTGTAGCGTTATCGGACCATATTGTGCCAGGCTTGCCCCTTAGGCAGCGATGAATGAAGCCGCAGACAAATCCTCCACCAGCTCCAAATGGCAGGCTTTAGTGGCGAAGCAAACAAATATTGCGATATAGCATTTGACGGGTGGCCGGTTTCTGACTTCAGACTTGGAGTAGAAAGGACCACAGAAATCGATTCCCACTGTGACAAATGGTCGACTTGGCTGCACGCGGTTGGATGGCAAGGGGGCCATGATGTGCTCAGCTAATTTGGGCTTTAATCGAAAGCAGCGAATGCATTTGTTGATAGTGGCGGCGACTATTTTTCGACCACCAATTGGCCAAAACCTTTGCCGTAAAGCCGCCAATAAGCTCTGCGGACCTGAGTGAAGAAATTTCAAATGATAGTGGGCTATGATTGCTGACGTGACTGGATGATCCTTGGGAAGCAAAATTGGGTGTTTTGCATCATAATCCAATAATGAATTCTGCAGCCGACCGCCAACTCGAATAAGTCCCGATTCATCGCAGATTGGATGCAGCGAGTACAGCTTGCTTTTTGAAGAAATCTGCCTTTCGGATTGCAGGGCCTTATACTCCTCAGCAAAGTTGATGAGCTGGATTCCCTTGATGAGCAGATGCGTGCCTCCTTGATGTCGTCTACTGTAAGAGGTCCTCGCCGTCGTGGCTCATCCTTGGCTTTTAGCATTAGGAACCGATGTATGTAGCCAAAGACTCGCTGCAGCTTTCCAAAACAATTTTGAAACTTGCAGCCATACGAAATATCCTGGCTTTGCGTCAGCACCAGCGCGAGGCGGCGGCGTTCAGGCACATCTACTAGAGTAGGCGTATGAGGCGGCCAGCAAGCTTCGTCTGTCCGCAGGAATGGTGGGCCCTCACGCCACAGCGTCGAATCCAAAAGTTCGAGCGGAGTACATCCTCTGGATAATATGTCAGCCGGGTTGTAGTGGGTCGATATATGATGCCAAGCCATATCCTTGGTCCTTTCTTGAATCTGCGCGATTCTGTTGGAGACAAAATGTTAAAGTCTGATGGGGCCTGGCGAATCCAAGAGAGCACAATTGTTGAGTCAGACCAACAATGATATGTGCAAGGCTGAGAAATGGCATTAGCGATGTTGTGGATGAGTTCGGATAGCAATAGAGCTGCGCATAATTCAAGTTTGGGTATGGTTATTGTTTTAAGCGGCGAGACTCTAGACTTGGAGCAAAGCAAATGTGATGAGTAGGTGCCCCCTGCTTCGGAGCGCACATAAATACAGGCACCATATGCCGCCAAGCTTGCATCACAAAATCCATGAATTTCCAAAGATGAGTCAGATTGCATGATGAAGCAAGGAAATTTTAAATGGCTGACTGCCGAGATTTGCGCGGAGTGTTCCAACCATAAGGAATGCAAGATTGTGGCAAAGTCTCATCCCAGTCGAGCTTATCTTTCCACAGGATTTGCAGGAATATTTTGAGCCTGGTTATAATGGGCGCTATAAGACCTAGGGGATCGTAGAATTTGGCTACGGCTGATAAAATAGACCGCTTGGCAGCTGGCTTGTCTGCTACATTTCCAGAGAATCCAAAAAGCAAATTATCGGAACTTGTATCCCAGTATAGGCCAAGTGTTTTGGCGACGTCAGTCCCATCACTGAATTTTAGCATTTTCTCGCGATCAGCCTCAAGTTCTCCTTCAGCGCTGCCGGCTCATTGGAGCACCATTTACGATTGGAAATAGGCCTTTTGCAAGTAACGATTTAACCTGCTGCCGGATATAAACGACCTCTTCGATCGAGTCGCCTCCAGAATAAGGTCGTCAACATAAAAGTCCTACGCACGATCTTGGCTGCCACAGGAAATCCTTCTCCTCATCATAGGAGAGCTGCTGCATAGCACGAATTGCTAGGAATGCAGCAGGCTTAGTGCCATAAGTGACGGTGTCCAGGGTGTATATTTTAATTTCTTCGCTTGGACTATCACGCCAGAGGATGCATTGGAGCAGATTATCAGGTTCAGAGACACGCACACAGCGATACATTTTGCAGATGTCGCCGCATAGTGCCACTTTAAAGAATCTGAACCGAACCAAAGTGCTGAAGATTTTAGGCTGAATGGAGGGACCAGCAAAGAGCAACTCGTTTAAAGAGTATCCAGACAAAGACTTGGCAGAACCATCGAAGACTACCCTGAGCTTGGTAGTCGAGCTGTCCAATTTGTGAACGCAGTGGTGGGGCAAATAATATTGCGGCAAAGCTGACTGCTTGCAAGAGAGCGACATATGGCCTAAATCGATATACTCCTTTATAAAGGCAATATATTGAGCCTTGAGATTAGGATTTCTAGCCAATTTGGATTCCAATGATTTGAATCGCTGCGAAGCACGATGGTATGAATCTCCTAGCATATCGAGACTAGTCTTTGCGGGCAATCGAACTGAATATTGGCCTGACTCAAGCCGAGAATAAGATTGAGCAAATAAATTCTCGCACAAGGCATCCTCATCAGTTGGAGCATATGACGATCCACAATAGCTGTCAATTTCCCAAAACCGTTTGACAAGGTCCGGCAACGATTCAGGTTCCAATTGTACATCGTGCTCAACTGACAATGCGGGAAGAGAAGAGTGTTTATGGGCCGGCGAAGATATGCCACCGGATACTACCCAACCCAATCTAGTTTTTTGCAAGGAGGGAAGGTGATCGGCCAGCCGTATCTGCCCAATGCAAAGCAGGTCGAAGAAGATTCCAGCTCCTATAAGAATGTCAATCCTTTGACTTTTATGAAAGAGCGGATCGGCGAGGAATAATTGCTGGGGATGTTCCATTCGGAAGAGTTTAGGTCGAAATGCGGCTGATAATTTGTGATGGTGCTAGTCATTATTGCAGCGAATGATGTTCGGTAACCTTTGTTGCGAGATTGTACAATAATATCTACCGCCTTATCAGCCATGAGTGAAGACTCTCCTATACCTGAGATGCATGTATTTGAGCGACGAGTTGACAGTTGCAATTGATGAGCGAGTCGAGAAGTAATGAAATTAATTTGCGATGCAGAGTCGAGCAAGGCTCTGCAGGGCACCATTATGCCGGAACGATTTCGGACATATATGATGGCAGTGGCAAGAAGCACATAATCAGATTGATGATCTACCGAGGCTTTAGGTGGGGGTGAATTTGGCGAAGCAGAAATGAGCGAGGCACTATTTTGAGGAGCAGAAGTGGATGTGGGCTGCGAGGGTGATGAAGCAGGATTTGACTCCAAATGTAGCAATGTATGATGCTTAGAGCGACAATGCCTGCAGTTCCCAGCTTTGCACTGCTGCAGGCTGTGGCCTTTACGCAGGCAATTTAGGCAAAGATGTAGCCTTTTTGCTTCTTTGTAGCGTAGTGTGGGACTCAAGGCAATAAATTGTGGACATTTCGAAATAAAGTGATCCTTAGAATCACACAAAATACATAATGAGGTGTAGGATGATGCGGCGCAAGCGTTTTGGACATTTTTATTTATAGTTTTTCCCACCTGGTTGCTAGGTGTGTGGGTTACCATAGCATTTTCAATGTTTTCCATCATCCGACATCTCTTCTCCAAAAAGGCAGCCATATCCGTCCATTTTAGCAGCTTATTGGTAGGCAATCCCTCTTCCCACTTCTCCTGGGTATGCTGATCCAGTTTGGAGGACACCAGGGATATGAGCATTCCATCCGCAATCTCCTGGGTGGTTGCCATTGTGTTAAGGGCTCGCAGATGAGAGTTGATGCCGTCGCTCAATTGCCGCAAACTCCTTGCCGACCCTTTCACCACACTAGAAAGCCTGAAAATAGATCGTATGTGCCCCTGAAAATGCAAAAGTTTGTTATCAAACCTAGCAGTCAATAGGTCGACTGCCTTCTCAAAATTGGCCTCTGTTGGCTCCAGCGAGCGAATTGTGTCTAACGCGGGGCCATCCAAACAGGAGCGTAGATGCTGGAATTTTTCCAAATTGGTCAGGTCCTCGTTGTTGCCGATGACTGTAGTGTACATAGCGTAGAAATCTGGCCAGTCCATATAAGCGCCTCCAAATCGTGGCAGCTTAAACTCAGGCAGCCTAGTGGCCCGGACACCAGCCCTGGAGGTTGAAGCCTGCTCGATGTTGAAATTTGGGAGCGCAGTCGAATTTATCACTGACACTCGGCGGAGTTTTGCTAGTTCGCGAGATATTTTGGATTTTACCGCACAATAAATGTTTAGAAATTTTGCACGCACATCACTAGCCAGCTCTAGTAGATTGAGCCTTTCGACAGCTGTTTGAGACTTATCAAAATTATCTTGCATTTTTTCAATAAGCTCAAGCCTGACTTGAAGGTCGGCCTCATCAAAATGAGACGCCTCTTCTGAACCGAAAAAGTCATTTAAAGCCACTAGCTGTCGAAGAACCGAGTCCGCTTTGGCTTTATAAAAGTCAAAATCACTATTGGCCCCGGATGGGCACGCAGTAACCGAATCATTCTCTGCCATTTTATTTTCAAAAAGAGTATTCAAATGTCACCTTGGGCTTGCGACCGATGCAGCTGTACCAAACGCAGAGAATAGAGAACGAAAGAATAGCGGAGCCAAGCTTGGCGTTCACTGACCACGAGCTAACGGTTCTATCGGACCACCAAAACCAACAGCACAAACACAATTTGAACGAAAAGTATATAAAGGGCTGCAACTATATGCTAGTGCACAATATATAAAGATATGCTATGTACTCGAATGTACCGATAGAGTTCAATAGCGATGCAACGATATGCAATTGTATTGTGTGAGCATACGAACTATATACATATGTATAAGCACTTTTCACCTTTTATTTTAACGAAAACGATTTTTTACGCGATCACGTCGGGGTCACCAAATGTTTTGAGGAGGGCATTAATTTATGCCACCTATTAAGCGAATTGATTTAGCGAGGGGTTTGTTTTGTGTTGGCGTAAAATTAGTTATGTTTTAATTTGTGTGTGCTTGTGTGTGGTTTGGTTACAAAGTTTGTGTGTTTTTAGTTTCAACGTAAGTGAGCGAATGAAACGAGAGAATAGATAAACCAAACAGAAGAGCTGCGGCGGAAGAGCTTTCATGCCGGCTTATGAGGTGGAAAGCTTCTGCCGCAACTAATCGCTTGTTTACAAATAATGATTTAAAACATTTAATATTAAATCTGCTGCTTCTGCTCCCGACAGATGGAATATTAAAGAATATAATCCGCTAGTGAGTTTCCAGTTTTGCCCATCCTCAAACTCAATTGTATTATTTGATACATTTATTTGATTATTCCCCAACATTAATTGACCAGAGTCATTTTTGTATGGTCCATATGTTTTATCCAAAATATGATCTCGTGCTAGTTCACTGACATTAAAAATTTTTGAATTCTCTTCAAGCACTGAGGGTGGAGATCTCATCAATGGTGATGTATGGGGGGAGGTTTGAGTTGTGTGAGCAGTCGCTTGATTTGATAATACTGGTGATGATTGATGTGAGTGATGATCCGGTGGTGAGAATGAAGAATCATCATCTATAGCTGATTGGGAATAAATTTATCGTTCTCGTTCACCTCATCCCCAACAGAAATATTATCATAATCATCATCACTTTTTAATCTCCAATCCAATGGTTTGTATGCATCATATTTAGGTTTTGAATTTTTGTAGCTGCAGTGTAAAATGTTAGTTTCCTTTTTTTCATAAGCGGAGTTTTATTCTCTTTGTCAAATTCAAATTGATCATTTTGATTGTCTCCCTCTGTATTGGACAGGAATTTTTTGTTAATATTATTATTATTATTATTAACAAGTTCATTTAATGGATCAGTTATGGGTTTAAATATTTCTTCCAAACCCATAATATTCTGGGTCTTAAATTGTTTTAACTCTGAAAACTTTTTTTTCAAAGCATTTCGAGTTTTATTTAATTGTGATAAATATTTTGGTTCATTGTGATGCTATTTGAAATTATTTAAATTCGGAGAGTAAGATTGGTTATTTCAGTCTTGGGGTTGGGAATGTACTGAGAAAAAATTTATTAATCATATATATATATATATTTGGTATTATCTGAACTAATAATCAGACCTGGTATTAACAGGTCTGATAAACAGACCTGGTTGAAACACCTGATCTGATAAACAGACCTGGTATTAACAGGTCTGATAAACAGACCTGGTATTAACAGGTCTGATAAACAGACCTGGTATGAACAGGTCTGATAAACAGACCTGGTTGTACGACCTGATCTGATCTGATAAACAGACCTGGTTGTAAGACCTGATCTGATAAACAGACCTGGTATTAACAGGTCTGATGAACAGACCTGGTTGTACGACCTGATCGGATCTGATAAACAGACCTGGTTGTACGACCTGATCGGATCTGATAAACAGACCTGACCTGATGAAGAGAGGTTAAACTAAAATTGTGAAAAAAAGAAAAAAAAAATATAACCAATTTCATTTCCCAATAATAACAATTTTGAATTTTATTTAATTTAATTTATTATGATAATTTATTTTTTAAATTTTAAACCATCTGAAAAATAAATGCTGAAAAAAGATCCCCAATACCCATTTCCCAATAATAAAAAGTTTATGTTTGAGTTTAAAAATTGATTATTTTATTTATTTATTTTTTAATTTTTTAAAAGCTATTCGATATTTTTTAAATTAAAATCAATATTGGTGCCGGTGGAGCTGGTGGTGGCGGTGGAGCTGGTGAACATCTTCATTTTTTGTCGGTGTTTTGTTGTGGCGGTGATGATGAGCTGGTGGCTGGTGGCTGGTCTTGGCGGTTGTTCTTCGCTGAATGATATTTTTCCTAGACGAGGTCCCTGATTTTATACCCGACGAGGAGAACATTTCTCCTCCTCCGACTACACAGCATGTGTGGAATGGGAGGGGATTCTAAGAAACGTCTATCGAGTCATATTGTCCACTTCATGTAAAGTGAAGGTTAGGTAGGACATGGCTTGAATTGCACTCTAGTAAAAATTTGATACATAAATGCCCACAGTTAAAAGTACCAAATTTTGGGAACGATTGTAATTATATTTTAAATTTTTCCCCAAATATCTTATTACTTCTAATGGAGGTTGTAAATTCCCAAAACTATCAAAGTAAAACGAGTGTGTCCCCTTCTTAAAATAGGCTACCCAATGCGTTCCTTCTGATGTCGAGTCTGCTAAATTTATTATTCCACATTCAGAATGATGAGGAAATTTCGGTATTTCATCTTTCATATAAACTCCTCGAAAATGAGGAATATTTTTAAAGGCAAACTTCAATATATCAAAATTCGATAACGCTCTGTTAGGTAGCTCATTTAGTAGTTTTTTTTGATTGCGTTTTTGTTTGTTGGTATTATTATTTTTTGTAAATGATATACCGTAACCTTTCTTGTATGGATGTAAATACAATCCCTTGCCTAACGCTACCGATTCCATTTTTCTATTATGCCTCTGGTTTTCCTCAAGTTGCCTTTGCCTTTGCCATCGTTGCATTGTTAATAGACTTTACAATTGCAGCGCTACCTGATGCTAAACTTCCCACATCGCTAAGGGCTGTTAAAATAAGTACCAATGGTAAAAACCGACCAATTTTAGGGACTGCTATAACCCGTGGAATTACAACATTTTTCCTACACCCCATAGAGTTAGATACTGCAGAGCGAGCCACTTTTACTGTATTCAATAAGTCAAGAGGTTTATTCTTTCGCAATTCGATTGTTGCCTTTCTGATGATTGAGGCAAGAGTTCTTTTACAACCTTCTTTTTCTGCTGCTTTGTTCCCATCCCAGATTTTTTCTTTAGCTTCATCACGTTGCTCGCAACATATGCTGCAGATCTTTCACTAATGCTGCTATTCAATGCTTTTACACGATCCCGAGCCCTATCAATTAAGATGGAATCTGCTTTATGTCGTTCACTCCTTGCTATTTGAATATACTATGTCGTGTTCCCGACAAGCCTCATTTAAGCCGTTGATCCCTCAGTCACCTCGAAGTAATCGTTTCTCAAGGTTTGTGGCAGGTCCACAGTAATTGTACCCAGGTATGTGAGCCTCAAAGGGTAAAGTGTTTATTAAATTATTTATAATACCAGTTCCCTGTTTCACATTTGATTTATGACTGATTATATTATAAAAATGTTTCCCCATTTTATATCAACCTCAATTAACGAATGATTGTCCTCGAATGAAGTACTTATCTTCAAATCATGCGTTTATTAAGACAAATAAAAGTATCACAGTAAGAAACATTGAAGGTGGTGTGCATGGTGAAATTACTCATCCACGACACAGTTCATTGTTACCAAACACAATTAGAGCTTTAAATGTTGGACCATCCAATTGTGGAAAAACCAATGTGATGATAAGTCTTATCGAAAGTCCAAATGGCTTAAAATTTCAAAATATTTACGTATGTTTAAAAAGTTTATATCAACCAAAATATGAGTATTTGGAAAATCTTGTGAAACCAATACGAGGAATGGGATATTATACATTTTCGTCAAATGATAGTGTTTTGTCACCGGAAGAAGCAAAAAAACAATTCCATTATAATATTTGATGATGTCGCATCCGAAAAACAAGATAATATCGAGATTATTTTTGTATGGGACGACATAGGAAGATTGATTCATTCAATTTATCTCAAACGTATACACATATTCCTAAACATTTAATTATAGACAATGCGAATTTTATTATAATGTTTAAACAGGATGACTTAAACATGCGTCGTATATATCGAGATCATGTTAACAGCGATATGGATTATAATTCATTCATGAATATATCAAGAAGGTGTTGGGAGGATAAATTTGGATTTCTTCTAATCTCTAAGGATGATGATATGAAAACTGGACGATACAGAAAAGGATTCGATCAGTTTATTATTCTCGAATAAATAATAATATAAGTATAATGAAGTTAATAAAAAAACATACAGTTCACGATTAAGCTTCATAATGAGTACATCGCTAACAATTGCTTTAAATGGAAACACATCTGTACTAAGCGAACATTTTTTTCCTCAAATTGAGTTAAATCGTAATTATGAATGTGCTCTAATCGACTTTTATACATTCAATTCTATACCGAATGTAGATAAGGGGAATAATGTATTTCATTTTGGAGACAAAGTCATAGAAATACCTATTGGCTCATATGAGTTTGAGGATATAATAAAATATATTTTTAATAAGCTCAAGGAATATGAACTTCACAATAGTGTAACAATTGAATGTAACACCAATACTTTACAAGTTCAAGTTGTTAGTAAAAAAGAGACAGTATATTTTAATCATGAACGATCAATTGGACGATTATTTGGATTTAATAAAGGTAAATTAAGACCAAATGAAAATGAAATTTACGTCTCGGATAACCCTGTAAATATTTTAAAAATAAATTCTGTTAGATTGGAGTGTAACATTAATAGTGGATCATATGTGGGGAATAAACCAAATCATGTGCTTCATGAATTTGGAATCAATGTTCCGCCTAGATATAAAATGAACATTACACCACACAACTTGATTTATTTACCTGTCAACACCAGAGAAATAAGCACACTCGAAGTACGGATAACTGATCAAAACGGAGAATTAA